GCTTGGAGCAGCCTGGGCTGGTGGGAGGTGTCCCTGCCCATGCAGGGGGGTGGATCTAGATGATCTTGAAGGTCCCTTCCAACCCAAACCATTCCACAGTTCTATAAAATCACCACTGTAAGATCTAGTGTTCCATAAACCACAGACCAGGGACAAGGTGTGACAGGTTTTTACCTTTGCTGGTGTCAATCAGCCCTGGCTCCAGCACCAGCAGGGCAGGAAACACCCCAAGAGCTGGCTGGGTGCTGTGAATACCCCTGGGAGCAACAGGTGTCTCAGCAAAAGCTCCTGGCACAGAAGCAAACGTGTCACTCTGTGTCATTTGATGAGCACAGCTCTTGCTCAACCACACGTGCACACGGGTAATCAGGGAACAATTAAGGAGCTCCAAATACCCAGAGCATGTCTTGGCTGTAGAGAGATTAATTCATTCCAGTGACTGATTCAAATCAAATAGGAAACCTTCAATTAAGTAATGAGATTTTCTAGGTGTAGTTTATTCCTCCTCCCCCCCCAATTCAGTTCTCACTGATTTTAGTAACCAAGGGACATTCAGGACTTGTCTAGCTTGGGTTTTGTGGTTGTTTTTTTCTTTCCCTCCCAGAAAACACCAAGTGACTGGTCCTGGTTAGGCTTTTTCCCCCCCCCTCCCCTCTGTTTGTCCCAAGCCCAGCAGAAGGGGTCAACAATGAAGGCAGGTTCCACAGAGCTGGGAGACACCCCCACGTTTTCATTTGTGCTTCCTCAAACCAGCAGCTCAGGGCAGGGGGGTGTGACACCCCGGGGGTGTCACAGCCTGGGGGTGCCAGCCACCTGACCTGGCTTTCACTGGCCCTGGAGCTTCAGTGATGGAGGCTTGTTTGTTAGCTTGGGACAGTCATTCTTCCCAGTGAATGGTGCCAACACACAACAGGAGTTGGGAAAGGGCAGGTTGGATGGGGCTTGGAGCAAACTGGGCTGGTGAGAGGTGTCCCTGCCCGTGCAGGGGGTTGGATTTGGATGATCTTGAAGGTCTCTTCCCATCCGAACCATTCTATGAAATCTCCATGATGGAAAGCCACAATGCTCCTGCCCCCATAAACACCCTTCCACCACTAACCAGTTGGCAGCTGAGGATGAAATAAAACCACTTTTATCACTTTTAAATAGCAAACAAACACAAACCAGCACTAGTGGGGAAGGGTCTCAGGTCCAGCCAAACAGAAGGCTGGTCCATCCTGTTGGAAAAGTACTTTCCTCCACTGAACAAAAAATAAAGCATTTTTGTGTGTCCAGACTCATGGTCAGACTCTTCAGCTGTTTTTTTTTTAATCAACCAATTCACTAGGGACAAATATAAGGCTGGTGTCACCAGACGAGTCAGTCACCAAGTCACAAGCCCTTGGCCTCCACCCCAACCATCTCCCTGCAGGACACCAGGGAGAAACCCACACCCTGCCAAGCCCAACCCTCCAGTGCAGGAGATTTTTCCAAGCACCATCAGGTCAGTACATCTGAAAAATAGGTTTTATTTTTAACCAGTGGTATCGTGACATCTTATCTGGCAGATCCAATGACAGCAAAAATTCATGGATAGAAACAAAATAGCAGATTTCTTCTCTGAAGTGCATCCTCCCCCTCCCACTGCACCCAAGGGCAGGGAGCAACAGCCACAGGCTCCAGCAGAGCAAGGACCCTGGATGAAACCTTCCCACTCACACACACACACACACACAACATCTATATTTTTAAAAATCTGTAGCAATATTTCTGCATGAAATCACACTGGAGCATCTACACATAAAATGGGCTGATAAAAATAATCTTGCTGTAGGTTTACACAGTATATCTACATTTTCATTTCAATACTTGGAACTGCTGGTCCAGCAGAAAAAGGAGGGGTATTTTGTTGTTGTTGTTGTCTTGATTTTGTTGGGCTGAGGAGAGTTTTATTCCTAGGGCATGAAATAACTGCTCTCTTCATCTCACCCCACACCTTTAGGAAGTGTTTGACCTGAAGAGGTCACTGGGAAGTAGCCCAGGAAGAATCCACAGCTTTGTCACCCGTGTCCCACCCCATTTTGTGCTGCCTCCTCAAACACAGCATTCAAAGCCACCACAAGCAGTTCCTCTCTGTCCTGCCAGTAACAAGAACACAAAAATACTGCACGAGCCTCTCTCCTCACATGCACAGGTACCTCATCCACCAGGATGCCTGCAACAAACACTTCTCTACAAAAAGTCTCCTCCATGAGTCCTGAAATGGGGCTCCTGAGCTCCCCAGGGCAAGTTCAAGCACACAAAGGTGCTGAGAAACCTCCTGCCATTTGTCACTTGTAAAATACAAAATACTTGAGCCACGTTTGGGTTCAGCTTTTCATGTTTCCTCAAGCAGAGATCAACCTGCTACAAAATAGCCAAGAAGCTCTCCTCTGAGAGGGTAAAAAAAACCCCAAACCTCTAGTAAATGTTAAATTTTATATATATATATAAATATTTATATTTATAGGTACAGACAGTGAGACTGTGGCTTTATGCATGCTGATTTCTTTGCTTTGGATCCCAAGACTTAAAAAATAATTGTACTTTCAGGAAACAACTTATAAGTTCTGGCACAAGATTCCAGAGTTGTCTCTTTGCAGACCATTTTTTACACTTGATATCACAACAAACCCTCTGTCTCAAGCTCTCCTTCTCTAAAACCAGAAGGTCAGAACAAAGAAAAAGGGGCACGTTTCTGTCTATTTTATCCTCTCCTTCTCCAAGTCTCCAGGCATTTCACAAGGAGCTGCAGCACAAAAGAAGGATGCTGGGATTTCCTGGCACTGCCTGAGGTACTTGGTAGCACAGTTCACCAATGGTTTCTCTGCCCCAGTGCTGTCCCCACAAAAAGTAATGACAAAAACAAGCAGCTCTACATGCAGCTACAGCTACAACATGCAGAACACCCCAGCTTTTCAGGAACAAAATACACAGAGGTGTGGCTGGCAGGGATCTCCCCCAGCCTCTGTCTCCTGGGAGCTAATGCTGGGAAACCTCAAAATGAGAGGAAGGGAAGAGGGAAAAACACAAGAATATGCAAATCCAGGGGTAGAGGCTGTTGCCTTGGAAGTTATTTCCTGATTACATCAAGTTCATGCCTGGCTATCTGGGAGCCTTCCCCCTGAAGAGCAGTGGGTCAGAGATTTCCACTCCAGACTTCCTTTCCCTTCTCTCCCCATTCAATTTAAGGCACAAACATATTTACAGTTTCAAACAAAACCTTTTCACTTTCCAAGAACCAGACACGAGAAGCGCTGAAGGTTCTGCTGAGCCAGGAAGGTCTGGATGTAGATCAACCACCTGGCACTGAGCGAGGACATCCCTCCACCCCACCTTCAGTCCTGAAGAAAAAACAGAGGACTCTCCAGCCTAGAAACCAACCTTCCACTCTTTTGAGGTTACTTAATTATAGAATTGATCAATGGCAGCGATTGTAACCCAACTTTAAAAGGTCAATTTCCCCCCCCATTCCCCATCTGCCCCAGCAGTGCAAAGTGGTTGAGCACTGGAAGGACTCAGGAGGGGTCAAGAGCAGGTTCTCAGCAGCTTGTCCCAGGCTGAGCACAGAACACAAGAGCATGCAGAGCATGGTCACACAGACTCAGGTTTCCTCCCTCCCCCCCCTCCCTCCCCAACTCAACACACACAAAACCCCTCCACCAAGGAGAATATGGTTGTGACGAGGCACTTGAATGATAATTGGAGAGTCCCCAGGAAAAGGCCTTCCCCTCACAGTGAAGTGGGACAAGCAGAAGAGCAGTTCCTCAGGACTCCATCTCCTCTTGGTCAAGCGGGGGTGGCACAAAGCTGATGACTTCATCATAAGTCAGGCCTGGTGGGAGAAGGGTGAGAGGAACTGAACAGGCAGGACTAGAAACATCCCTCATGCAAGAAAAGCCACAGCAACTTGCAAGGTTCTAACAATATTTTACATTAAAAAACAGCAGGAGAAGAATGGTTCCACCATTCTCAGAGACAAATAGACACAATAAAAGATACTTCTAGAATCTTGAGATGTGACTAAGTTTGAAAACAAAGACATGAGCAACCATGTCAGCAACATGTTTGTATGCTCATGGTAATAATTAGTTAGCAGAGATTATGTTAATTATATCACAGAGTCATTCTGGTTGGAAAAGACCCTTTAAGTTCATCCAGTCCAACCCTTAACCCAAGTCCACCAAGTCCACCACTAAACCTTTCCCTCAGCATCACATCTACACGGCTTTCAAACACCTCCAGGGATGGGGGTTCAACCACCTCCCTGGGCAGCCTCAGTGTTCAGTAACACTTTTACTAAAAGACGTCTCTTCTAATCTCCAATCTAAACCTCCCCTGGTGCAACTTGAGGCCATTTCCTCTTGTCCTGTTGTGTGTCACTAGGGAAAAGAGGCCATGTGATAGATTCACCCATTACAGAGTGAACAGGATGCCCACGTTTTTATCAGATCCTCTGGGCCTCTGCCACAGCTCAGCTAAACTGCAGCTTAAGGAGGGGTCCCCATGGGAAGCAGGTTGGCTCCCTCCAATCCCCCACACTCACTTTTCCATTCCTCAATTTCAAGTTCTCTGCTTTCAAAGGACTGGTCATAGGGATCTGCCACTGGTTCATCATCTGGGTCGTGATACTGAGCAAAGTAGGCGTGAGCCAACGCTTCTGCTGCCGTGATTCTCTTGTCTGTGTCCAGCACCAACATCTTCTCTAGCAAGTCCACAGCTGCAAAAGCACCAACACAGAAAAGGAAGGATTGTACAGTGAGCTGGGGGACACTGCATTCCAAAATATCAGCTTAGAACAGCCCAATGGGTATAAGGAACCTGGAGCTTCTCAGGGCCCACCCGTCACCCGCAATTTCTTCCTCTTGCATCTTCAGCCCAAACGTACTTTGTAAACCCTGAAAATGGCAGAGCTCTGAGCTCCTGCTGCAGCCAAAAGGGCTTTGGGCAAAGCCTTGGTGTCCCAGACACTACCTCCAGCCTCCAGAAGAGCACCCAACTCACCAACAAGCCTTACCTAGTGGGTTGGCACCAATAAACACATTTTCAAAGTTCATTTTCGGCATGTAAGACAAAGACTGAATGTAGTTCCTTGCCTGTGGAAACAAACACTCTGTTCAAGTACAGGACAACAGAGCCACCAAGACAGAGTACATTTCAATCAACCTGAAGCTATTCTGGTTTCTCTCTCTGCTTTGCCTTTACTTTTTTTGATACTTCCTAAGCCCACCAGCACTGTCCCTTCCCAACTAAAGGCCACTGCAGAGAGCAGAGGAAGAGCTGATGTTATTTGGGGTACATGCAAGACTGAGAAGCAAAGGGATGCAGTGAGAGCTGCTGCCCTGGAGGGGGCTGCGTGCAGGGCTGTCAGTGAGCCACACAACATGGCACACAAAGCAAGACCAACTCACATCCAGGCTCTCCTGAGTCTCAAGACTCTGTGGCTGAGGATGCACAGTCCAAACCTCAGGTCTTCACCCGGTACCAAACAATCTTGCTGAAGAGCAGGGAGTTAATCACCCACCCCATGCCACATGCAAGTGGATTCTGAGAGCAGCAGCAAACACTGCAGGTGAAGACCTGCCCTGCAAACCACCCTCATCTGCTTAGGTCTCACCTCGTGGCTGGGCATCCTGTTAATGAGATATGCAGGGGGTGTTCCCGTCAGACGCATGATCTGCTGAAGCTGGTTAATATCTTAAATGCCTCGTCAAGGGCTTTGTTAAAAACAGGGCAAAAACCATTTTCAACAGACAACAGCTGCACACAAAGCATCTCTTCTGCAAACCACAAGGCAAAAGCCAGCCAGGCAGGGCTCACTAATGTCTTCAAATACTTGTGAAAGGGTCAGCAATTGCACTTGTGAACACTTAAAACAAGAGAATTACTGCTCAGTTGGTAACAGGGTCAGCTCAGAGTGTTTCTGTAACATCACAGCACTTTGTGTTCACATTTCCCAACAGTTTTAAGCCACCCGAGTAGACATTTCCTTTGGCTGAAGCTGTTCTTCAAAAATTCTTTCCTAGGCTGCTACAGCTACATAAAGCCTCAGGAAAATGAAAAAAAGAAAATAAAATTAAAACAGAAACAAACAAATGTCTCCTCTGCACTGGTTTCCAGCTTGTTTTCTTGCTGCATGGAAAGTACTTCAGTTCCTTGTGGTGCAAAGTGAAACTGGCTCACAAGTGACACCTCCTTCTAAACAGCTTTGAATGCACTTTGCTGTGTGGGCGAGGTGACAGGAGGCAATAAATGCAAAATTAGCCAAACATGAGCATTGCATAAGACAGAGTTTGCTGGTGTCAGGGAACAGACAGAGAAAGTGAGAGCAAGTCAAGTAATGCAGCAGGAAAAGATCAGTGACAGTGACATACTCAAGGCCCTCAGACACTGAATAGTTTTGCTGTCTCCACACCATGGAGGAAATGAGGAGAAACAGTTCTTGACTGCTTTTCTTTTTTTAAACAGCCTCTTGATTTGGACCTGGCTAAGAGAAATTATACTTTGTACTGTGCCATGTTACAAAGAAAAAAAAGATCCACTTCAATCCTACGTATGCAAACTAATCTTTTGCTTAACCCAGTCAAGCTTTAAGCTTCTCTCTCACTAATCCATGTACTTCAAATACCAGACTCCTCCTGAGGTCAGTTCCCATGGCACCCAAAGCAATCTCTGTTATTCAGTTCCAACCTTTCTGAGGGCAGAACGTCTCAGAGCTGTTTTACTTGGTGTCCATTCAGCAAACTGATTCCAACTTGCATGGCTTGTCTACCTTCCCCCCGTGTAACTCAGGGCCAACCTCCCAGTTTGCTTTTACAGTCAGTGTGACATGGACAGGGACATAAGCTGCAGGACAGGATCATCTTATCACCACTCTCTGCAACCCTGATCCTCTCTTAGGTGTCAGAGACAGCAGGGTGACTTGCAGTGCACTGTTAGTGACCTCTACACAAGCTCAGTGCTCACTAAGCAGGAACTTGTTACTCCAGCCTGATATGGCACCTCTTGCTCCAACCTCTTCAGAAATAGGTCCAATTAAATGCCATTTGATCCTATCTTTGCAGAAGCCCACAATTTAAGATTAGAACAATCCACAAATTGGGCTGAAAATAGAGGTCACCCTTTAAAAAAGAGACTGCAGAAAGCTTATTTTTTTTTGGGGGGGGCAGGGAGGGAAGACGAGGCTGGACATGAGGAGGAAATTCTTTGCTGTGAGGGTGGTGAGAGCCTGGCCCAGGTTGCCCAGGGAAGCTGTGGCTGCCCCATCCCTGGCAGTGTTGAAGGGCAGGTTGGATGGGGCTTGGAGCAGCCTGGGCTGGTGGGAGGTGTCCCTGCCCATGCAGGGGGTGGGACTGGATGATCTTGAGGTCCCTTCCAACCCAAACCATCCCATGATTCCATGATTTTGCTATTACCTTGAAAAAAGGGCCCCATCCACAAGGCCCTTTCTACACACAGGACCACATACTGAGTGGCCTGGAAACAGGTGCCACATCAAAGCACCTAAAAGGCATTTTAGATTTTATGCCACCAAAGCAGAGATGCTGGCAGCAGTGTTTTGGAAATTAATCACACAACAGAAGGGACTGTGTGTGTTTAGAGGACAACACACTTTGCTTCTGATAAGATCCTTGGGTAGACAATCTGGAGAAATAACAATAGAGATGAGCCTCAGGCTCTTAGCTGTAAAAAATCCTTCCCCAGCAGCATCTGATCACATATATATTTATCACCAAGTATAAACTCACAAGCTGAAAGAAAAGTCACAAAGTGGGAAAATGAGAATATGGAAGGAAGAAATCATTCCACAGGCAGAGGTAAGAGGAATAAAGATCAGATACACAGAACTCAAAGCCATCCAAGAGCAAAGAATGACAAAGGAAGAACAGAAAATCAAGCCCAACATGTACTATGGGAGGGCAATACACAAACTGGGGACTTTTGAAAGGGCAGATATTACAATCAAAGTGTAAACTCACAGACTCTGAGGAGATTTTCTTCAAAAGCTCAGGCCCTGGGGTTCCAACGAGTCTCAAAATGAGCTTCAACTGATCAATATCTAATGATGGACCAATAAAGGAAAATGCTGGGACAAATCAAAATGAAAAGTGCAACACATCAGCCTATTAACAGGGAAAGTTGACACCTGCCAAGGCCTCCCCTGAAGAGCTATTTTAAGCAAACTGGATTAAGTCCTCTCATTTAAAATTGAATAAGTTCTTACCACACAGCTCTGGCTGCATCAGACAGATTGAACAACTTGGCTGCAATCACACTGCATGCACTTACTGGGTCACTGCCCCCTGCCCAAGGCAGGAGCAGAAGTCAAGGCTGAGGATCAGTTCCTATGCTCCCTGCACCCTTCCAGGCCCCACACCAAAGGAGAAGCAATCAGCAGGATTAGGTCGTGTTAGTGACAGATGAGGTAAAGCAGAAGGCTGAAGTGTAGGTGCTGATGTTAAAAAATGAAAAGGCCTTTTGTGAACAAGGTAATTTGGCCTCTTCTAAAACTTAGAAAGTAAGAAAATGACTGGATCCTGCAGTGACCTCCAGGTTCCCTCCACCTGAACATGGGGGCAGGTTTCCCAGGCCTAGAGCAGCCCACAGAGGGGCTGGACCCCACCAGCTCCCTGGGATGAACAGGGCAGGGATCCAAAGCCCCTGGATCCTACAGACCCACTGAAGCAGCAGAGAAAACCAGAATTTGGGCTCAGGTTTAAAATCTCTCTGTAGAAAGCTCCTGGGACACAACAGTGCAGAGGGAAGTCCAGAGCTTCCACCAAGCTGAGCTGTCCTCTTGAACCAGGCAGATAAATTAAATATTTGGCATAAGACAAGGGGAAATGGCTTGAAGTTACTCCTGGAGGGATTCTGACTGATTCCAGAACATAATTTTTCCCCATGAGAACAGTGAGACATTGGAACAGTCTCCCAAGGGAAGTGGTGGATTCCCCCACATTGGACAGTTGGAAGTCTCAGCTGGACAGGGTGCTGAGCCACCTCATATCAACTAGAGTAGCACCTAGAAAGGTTGGACAGATGATCCTTGATGTCCCTTCCAACTTGGCATTCCATGATTCTAAGTGACAAAATGTAATCTCCCTTCTTCTCTGAATTATTCTCCATGCTGCTCTGCAAAACCAACTGGTGATTTCAGACTGTGGAATGTTTGGATCTGCCCTGACAATTGTATCAAACTGGTGACCATTCTCCTTTCAGTAAAAGCAGCCTATTTCCTAGGCAATGTTTTTTTCCAGGATCAATGCCTTCCTGATCTTTTAAGATACAGTTGCAGTTACTTGTTAGAGTATCTTTTAATTTGAGTACTCTAAAGAACTTCCAAAAAAATAGATCCTGTTTTTTAAAGCCTCAGAGCTCCCACAATCCTGGCAAGCTGCCCATGAAGGAAATCACCAATGCTTTGCTAAAACCTTTGCCTTTTGATGTAAACTTTGGTTTAAAGGTTCTACATATGGAATTAATTAAAAAGCTCTGGAACTGATACTTTTTCAGAACAGCTGAACTGATTTCCCACCTCTCCAGTTGCTTGAATAATTCCCACCTACTTAAAGACTGGAAATCTAAGAATAAATCCAATGTACCTAGATGGGATTTAGCTTAGCTGCTGAATTGCCAACTCTTAATTGCTAATGATTCAAATGAAATCAGGATATCCACTGGTGTGGGAGATTTAGCAGAGGGTGCCACACTAACCACAGTTAGCTCAGTTAAACTGGCTTTTCTCCAGTGCCATTTAAAAACAGCCCTGACATCTTTTCACTCCTCCTTGTGCAAGGAAGAGTTGTGCAAATTTCAGGCTGCTAACCCACCTCAGAAGTTGAGGTTTACCTGTTTAAGTATTTTAGTTCTTTTCAAGACATTTCTAGTCACATGCACCAGGTGATCCAACTATATTGCTGCCCAGTTTGCTCTCAGGGCAAAAACTGTTATTGAGAGATGCTGATTTAAAATGTTTCAGTGGTTTCTCAGATCAAAAGGAGCTGTACCTGGCACTGTCTGAGGTGTCTAAACCCAACCCCTGCTGCAAGTCTGATCCAAGGACTGGAGCAGCTCTGCTCTGGAGACAGGCTGGGAGAGTTGGGGTGTTCAGCCTGGAGAAGAGAAGGCTCCAGGGAGACCTTAGAGCACCTTTCAGTGCCTGAAGGGGCTCCAGAAAAGCTGGGGAGGGGCTTGGGACAAGGGCAGGGGGGAATGGATGAAAAGTGGAAGAGGGAGATTGAGGTTGGGCATGAGGAGGAAATTCTTTGCTGTGAGGGTGGTGAGAGCCTGGCCCAGGTTGCCCAAGGAAGCTGTGGCTGCCCCATCCCTGGCAGTGTTGAAGGGCAGGTTGGATGGGGCTTGGAGCAGCCTGGGCTGGTGGGAGGTGTCCCTGCCCGTGCAGTTACTTGTTAGAATATCTTTTAATTTGAGTACTCTAAAGAACTTCCAAAAAAATAGATCCTGTTTTTTAAAGCCTCAGAGCTCCCACAATCCTGGCAAGCTGCCCATGAAGGAAATCACCAATGCTTTGCTAAAACCTTTGCCTTTTGATGTAAACTTTGGTTTAAAGGTTCTACATATGGAATTAATTAAAAAGCTCTGGAACTGATACTTTTTCAGAACAGCTGAACTGATTTCCCACCTCTCCAGTTGCTTGAATAATTCCCACCTACTTAAAGACTGGAAATCTAAGAATAAATCCAATGTACCTAGATGGGATTTAGCTTAGCTGCTGAATTGCCAACTCTTAATTGCTAATGATTCAAATGAAATCAGGATATCCACTGGTGTGGGAGATTTAGCAGAGGGTGCCACACTAACCACAGTTAGCTCAGTTAAACTGGCTTTTCTCCAGTGCCATTTAAAAACAGCCCTGACATCTTTTCACTCCTCCTTGTGCAAGGAAGAGTTGTGCAAATTTCAGGCTGCTAACCCACCTCAGAAGTTGAGGTTTACCTGTTTAAGTATTTTAGTTCTTTTCAAGACATTTCTAGTCACATGCACCAGGTGATCCAACTATATTGCTGCCCAGTTTGCTCTCAGGGCAAAAACTGTTATTGAGAGATGCTGATTTAAAATGTTTCAGTGGTTTCTCAGATCAAAAGGAGCTGTACCTGGCACTGTCTGAGGTGTCTAAACCCAACCCCTGCTGCAAGTCTGATCCAAGGACTGGAGCAGCTCTGCTCTGGAGACAGCCTGGGAGAGTTGGGGTGTTCAGCCTGGAGAAGAGAAGGCTCCAGGGAGACCTTAGAGCACCTTTCAGTGCCTGAAGGGGCTCCAGAAAAGCTGGGGAGGGGCTTGGGACAAGGGCAGGGGGGAATGGATGAAAAGTGGAAGAGGGAGATTGAGGTTGGGCATGAGGAGGAAATTCTTTGCTGTGAGGGTGGTGAGAGCCTGGCCCAGGTTGCCCAAGGAAGCTGTGGCTGCCCCATCCCTGGCAGTGTTGAAGGGCAGGTTGGATGGGGCTTGGAGCAGCCTGGGCTGGTGGGAGGTGTCCCTGCCCGTGCAGGGGGTGGGACTGGATGATCTTTACGGTCCCTTCCAACCAAACTATTCCATGATTCTATGATCCAAAACCTGCTTAACTGTAGCATCCTGGTAACTACAGGGCCTACCATGTCCCAGAGAAATGAGCTATAAGCAGTTAAAGACAGGAAAAACAGTAAATACAAAGCAAAAGCAAAAAAAAAACAACCACCACAAACAACCAAACCAGAAGCATGTGCATGGAGAAGGAAAGCACAGCATGCAAACCCCAAACACCATCACCAAGGTACCCTCAACTGATGTGATGAGTCTGAAGAAATCTAAAAGAAATCAGAGAACAACCTGCCATCACCAGCAGGCACTGCAAGATTGTAAGAGCTCATCCAGGCAAAGCAGAGTTTAGAAGTTGTTTCAGCTGCCACCACAAGCAAGAAGATGTATCAGAAGAATTGCACATGGGTTAGTTACCATGGAAGCACTCTACTAGTGAATAAAACCAGGAATAAAAATACTCTTCAGAGTTTAAAGGGAAGACAGTCAATTTACAACATACAGCAAAAGAAAATGGGCTAAACTAGTACAAAACATTCAAGATATTTGTACTTTGTATCATTTTATGCAAGTCAAACTGTCAAACTGGAAGGCAACTTTTCAACTTCTTGGTATGAATCATTCACATGACAAGAGCTGTAAAAAAAACAAACCACAAGATATACATTTTAAACAGAAACTGATCTTGGCATAAAGCAGATGGGATAACAAAAGGAGCACCTCTAGTTATGCCTCAAATTAAAATCTTGAAGGACTGAGCTCCATTACCTTCCTTTTTCATCTCTGACTAGTCCTTCCCACCATCTTTCTCCCTCCTCCACCTCCCAGCAGGGATTTGATTTTACCCATATCAGAAATACATCTTTCATCCAAATATTTCCAACCAGAGACAACAAATAGGAACAATTCAACTTATATTCAGATTTAAGTTAAAAAGACTGTAATAATAATCATGCAGAACTAATCATAGGGTGTTTTTTTTCTTACAGTATCTACAATTCTTGCTTTAAGTCAACAACTGCCATGTTCAGCATCTCTACAAATTAGGTTATTCAGAACTTAAAATTATATTCAGCATTAGCTTATCAGGGACACAGTTAGCACAGTATCAAAGATCATCACCTCATAATACAAATTTATTACTTACCAGATGAAATTAAGTGCACAGCTTGATTGTGCTGAAGGCCCTTACAAGTACTATATGCACCTCTGGGCTGTAAAAAGATATATCTGATGGGCTGGAAATAACATCCCACCATTGCTGTTAAATCCTTGGTGAAAGGGACTGGTATTTCAAACAAGAGAAGCATCTGAACTGGGGGATGATCAGCTTGAGAAGGCATTACCTATTCTGTCACTATCTAATTCCCCATTCTGTCACTATCTAATTCACTTTGGAAATATGAAGCTGGAGAGTTGAGGAAAATTAACATCTTGAGACTAAAAAAGCGAGAAATACGTCACATTTTCAGTTTCCAGGTTCCTGAACACACAGAAGACACTGTTGTGTTGCCTCCAGCTGCAAAGTGAATTCCCTAGAACTGCACTGGGTTTGGATAGGTTCTCTCCTTGGCTACTAGAAGCAAGGTGAATATACCTTGAATTCAAATATATCTTGAATTCAGCTTGTTAGAATGAATGGCAAAGTCAATAAGTCAGCAACTGCACAGTGACACTGCAGGAAGAACACAGGCCTCAGCAAAGCTGGGAGCACCCAGAAATTAGGAAGAGCCCAGAAGTACCAACAGGATCAACATTTGGAATATTTCTTAAGCTTTCTCAAAAAAAAAAAAAAAAGGCATAAATATAGAGAGATTTCAAAGACAGGGAGAATCCAGAACCCAGCATTACCTTACATCTCCCTCCTCTCTTTAGATGTCAGCACCACTGGAGTGAAAGCTGTCATCCTGGTGCCTCTCTAGACTCAAGGGTAAGTGTCACACACACACACACACACACAAAGATTCCTAACCACAAACCCTGCTCCCTTCTAGCTCTAACCTCATGATCAAACAGCACATACACTCCTAACAGTGGGAAACCACACACACAACCTGTAAGAACTAGAGTACTACAAAGTTTTACCTACAATGGGAAAGGATTTGGCCTTATTTTTCTTAAAATGTAACCAAGTCAACAGAAAAAACAATGAATTCAAAAGCCATTTGTAAAAGAAATGGAGCATTTAAGGTAAAGAACCGCAAGTATTTAGGTTGGAGATGAGGAGGAGCTTCTTTGCAGTGAGGGTGGTGAGAGCCTGGCCCAGGTTGCCCAGGGAAGCTGTGGCTGCCCCATCCCTGGCAGTGTTGAAGGGCAGGTTGGATGGGGCTTGGAGCAACCTGGGCTGGTGGGAGGTGTCCCTGCCCATGCAGGGGGTTGGATCTAGATGATCTTTAAAGTCCCTTCCAACCCAAATCATCCCATGATTCTATGAAGTATCTCCTAGGAGTTATAAATTTAAAAATAGAAATATAAATTAGTAAAGTATTTAACATGACAATTTAGATCCTGAAAGTAAACTTTATTTTGTATTGCAGATATTATTTGTTATAATCTACAGTTAAGAGTGTGACTGGGGAAAAAAAACCTGATTTGACAGGTTTGGAAGAGAATTGTTTTGTTCAATTAATAATGAACGCATTGGGAAGCATTTCTTATTTATTGCAAATCCTATTAGCAAATATTTTATGTGCAATTATCAAGATTAAAATAAATCTGAACTGTTACTGGGGTTAAAAACTGGCAACAGCTTGAAGATTTTGCTTTGTTTGAATCAACGATTCTTGATTTCTCATTATTTCGTGACAGAAGCAAACAAAATCTGCCCAAACCCAATGACAGCTGCCAAATCAGACAGAAATATGGCAACTTCTTTCCAGCTTCTAAGTCACCTTCATGTTAGTTCTGCTTCTCTCCCAGACCACAGAAAAATACACCAGAGATGACAAAACAGTAGCATGTAACAAGGTCAACATATTTGGAGACAGATTATGAGATGGAGACAGGCAGAAAGAGAAGGAAAAAAAAAAGAGGGTAAAGTTAAAGCACATTGAAAAGGGAAATGAAACTGGAATAAAAGCCTTTCCCCCACCAAAGAGTTTTAGAACCTAGATGCTTTGCAGGAGTCACACAGAAGTGCAGCACTTCCAACCCTAGTTTCCTTTTAATCAAATGCTAACATATGTGTAGATATCAATACTAATAAATTAATAAAAGTTATTAAAGTAAATGAACTGTGGGTGAAAGAATAAATATTGGCAAAAGGTGGGCAATGTCATTTTGCCTGGCAGATAATGTCCAATTTCTAGGCAACAAAGAATCTTGCCAATAGTAAATTACCTCTGTGTGTTCTGTGGCTGCACAAAAGCTGTAAGAATTATACTTTGCCTCTGGTCTCAGGTTTAATTTCCTGGGGGAAATCATGACCAGCTTTCACAAAGTGATCCTGATCAATTTGCCAAAGTGTCCTGCCCAGCCCACTATGGTGCAGCAACAGCATGACTTTGAAAATATGTTATTCAAGGTTGGTTTCTCACATGGATACGGGCACAGGGTGAAAAAAGACTCACAATCTGTTGATGCTCAAGCATGGAAGTGGAACCTAAACATTCTGGAGCAATTTGGAATGAGATCCTTGGCTCTAAGGAATTTGCAAGCTCAGTGGTCTCACAGCACCAGGACACAGCAGAGGCCAGAAGGGAGGCTTCACAAATGCTAGAAACCTGAAGTGTGAGAGGATTCTTAGCAGACAGTCTAGTTCATACAGTTATTTTCTACAAACTCAAAGACTAATAAATTCAAATAAAACTAAAGGAAAGTAACTCCCAGAAACAAACAACATTCTAGGGATACTGAAAGACAATCAAAAGGAATAGATTTGCCTTCTTGCACACTACGATTGTTTCATGCACAGCAAAATCAAGAACTTCGCCTCATTGTTCTGTGAGTAAAAGAAGCCATTAATTTAGAAACAAACAAAAAACCCAACAGCAAAACAAACCCAGAACTTCCTTTTCTTGTGAGATATGTAAAAGTGAACATCTCTAACTTCCATTTCAGAAAAATCTATGACTTTGAAAGGATACGGTCTGTACCAGGGAACAATGTTCTTCCAGTCAACAGTTCAGCCATAATGCAGCCCACTGACCAAATATCAACTGAACAAAATAAGAAACAAAACAATGTCATGCAGAAAAATAAAGTCTCAGTAGGATCTATCCAACAGGTTCACACAACTTTATCCTTGTTAAAACCATCTAAGCTGCAAGCTCAACGACACTGTTCAGTAACTGCTAAATGTTCAGTAATTATATCATCCAAGGCTTTCCCAAATAACAGATTATTCCAGCAGGAAAATTTTCCTTCCAGAGCTCGACCACCAAAGAGCTGAGGAAGAATCTACACAATCCAAGAGGAAGAAACCTGTTCAAGACAATTCTGAGAAATAAATTTTCCCCAGTCACTAACTACACTACAGATACAAGGCAAGTCCATAGACATGTAAGAGGAAAAGAGAAAGGAAGAAAAAGGAGGGAGGGATGAAATCAGACTAGCACATTATCTTCTTGGATCCATATGCTCTCCTGGGCAGAAACTATCCTTGGAATTTGCTTTTCCTCTCTGGGCCTGATATGGAAATATTGTAGGGAAGCACAGTGTGTTGCTCAGAAGATCCTGGAAACTGTGAGGAAAATATAACTGAAGAAATGGCTGAAGAGGAGCAGAAAGGAAGGGAGATTTATATACTATATATTCTATGATTCTTCACACCATAACTCCAGACATTTTCAGCACATTCCCAGCATCTTCCTAGAAACACCCCTTCTCCTCAGCCAGATACATTCCATTCACTTGGTTTAAAAAACCACTGTGCTTGGAAAAAGAAAGGATAAGTGCTGATACTATTTTGCTGATTGCAATTCAAATTCAGGTTTGAAGAAGTCCTGTGGATGCCACCACAATGGTTCCCCCCATGTCTACCTGGGAGGCTTTGGCTCACATACCAACCTGTGCCTTCCTTCTTTTAATCCCCCTCCCCTAATTACCACGACTAGCAATTTAGGTGATCAAATGGGAAGGAGCAGGTACAAAAAGACAACTTCTTTGTCTTCCACAATTCAGGAATTGAAGAGGCAGGTGTCAGTCAATGCATTACCTGTCTGGTTGTAATGCATCCAGTTGAGCATGATCTCAGGAGCCCTGTACCACCGGGTGGCCACGTACCCCGTCATCTCATCGTCCGTGTGTCGGGCCAAGCCAAAATCCAGGATCTGCAGAGGAGAAAGAACATCCACCAACTACTGCAGGGGGACAGAGCAAACTCCCGAGAGCAAATAATTTAAGCAGTTATTGGGCTGGGTGGAGGAAAGGTGGTGCAACTGCAAAAGCAGGTGATGAAACTCAAATTTCACAACCTGTTAAAAGGCACCAGCCTCTATCAGGGGAGGACTCAACAACCAGGAATACATCTGGGTATCATCTCTCTAAAACAACTAAACCCAAACTGAAGTTGTCAGCTCCTCATGTGCATGAAGATTCAGCTGGGAAGAACATTATTACTTTGCAACACAAGAATATTTTCCTAAGGAATTATGTTGTCCCTTTAAATCCAAGGGACATCCACTCAAACCACAGTCAAACCAATCAGAGCTTGTGATGACATTACCTTTAGCTCACAATCTTCATTTACAGCTAGGTTACTGGGCTTTAAATCCTAAAAAGTTGAACAATATCAGCATTAACAACAGTAGATATGTTGCTTCACAAGTACAAAGCAGATAGAAATGTAAATGCAGATAGATACTAGATTCTAACTGTAAATATCAGTTCTCCATACTTTGGAAAATTATTTTACCCCAGAGTCAGCTATTTATTTTGTGGCCCTCAGAGGTGCCACATATAAGCAAAAATGCATTAAGAATTATTGCAACATCAGTGCTGGAGGTGTTTCTTTAACAGACAGCCTATTTCACAAAGATACAAGCCTTTGTGAAGGCAGGAAAAGAAACCATGGATCTTGACAACCACTTCCCATGTTTAACCTTCTGAATGTTTAACTGAAATAATTCTTGGAAAATTTCTTCTCATTTCTGTAAGTGCTGCAGGGTCAGATTCTTGTGCCACACACTTTTGAAAGGCAGTGGTTCAGTACAGGAAGCAATCTCAGGAGAAATACTCACCCTGTGTATGATGTCAGCTGAATGGATGTACTGCAAGGCAAGGTGACAAATTTTATCTAACAGTCCAAGCAGCCTCCTTATTTCTTCCCTAGGCATTACAGCTCTACCCCATCCCACTCAATTCAGACACTGCAGCTTGTCTGCAGAAGGAACCAAGTGCCTGTCTGTGGGTTCCAATTCACTTTGTCTTTCCTTAGAAACACCCAGGAGCAGTCCCACAATGAGTGGAACACCACAAGTAAACACAGCTGAAGATTCCTTGTCAGAGCAGATCTAAGGACAGCATATTGCAGAATTTTCCAGAATCAGGGATGTACAGAAATACATTCTAAAATTATGCCTAGCTTTCCTGATACAGAGCTCCACAGAGGGATGGAGGAAAGGGACAATAAATAATAAATCCTACAATACATTAGGAATGTTCCAGAAGGCCCACTATTTACTCATATGGATCTCCAAGGATGGCACATTCACCAGGAACTTCCACCTCCCACTGCTGAACTACGGACATTCAGGTAGGACAGGTGCAAGTACCTTCAGTCCCCGGAGGATCTGGTAGATGAGGAACTGCACATGGTCATCTGTGAGCTTCTGGCATTTCACAATGTTGTTCAGATCTGCTCCCATCAGGTGTGTCACCAAGTACCTATGAACAAAAGGAAACAGAGCAGCTCTGAAGCAATCCCTTCCACAGGATTAGGACAAAAATCCCCAATGAATTTCCAGTAGCAGGGCTGACTGAATGAAGAAGAGTTCACAACACTTCAAAACACTTTAGTGTGAGGGTGGCGAGATCCTGGAACAGGTTGCCCAGGGAAGCTGTGGCTGCCTCATCCCTGGCAGTGTTGAAGGGCAGGTTGGATGGGGCTTGGAGCAGCCTGGGCTGGTGGGAGGTGTCCCTGCGCATGCAGGGGGTTGGATCTAGATGATCTTGAAGGTCCCTTCCAACCCAAACTATTCCATGAATCTAAATAATGCAGCAGATGAGTAAACCAGTTCCTACAGTATTGGTCAAGATCAGAACTGAGAATCATGGCAGACAAATTAAAGTGGCAAATATTTCTATAATAATCTGGGAGACATAAAGAAGATCCAAATGATGTTTTGTTGCAGCTTTCAGAGAAGTTACCTACACATCATTGAATTCTTCTAGTGACTTGGCAGGGGTGAACACATCCAACAGACCAATCACCTGGAAAGAAAACAGTAAAGTGAAAAAGCTGTGAAATACACTCATGATGTAATATGATACAGTCCCTAAAATCCTTTGTGAAATAGAAACGACTTATCCCAGTTGATGTTTCATTTCCAGCTAAATGATTCCTCCAGATATAGACGAATAAGTATTTATATAAGATCAGAAACAAACATTCAATTATTGTGTAAAAAAATGTAATAAGAATTAAGGTTAAAAAGATACATCTGTTTTTTCACACCAACTATCCCCCTAAAGCATCAAACAGAAGCCATGACAACAGGGAGGTGTAAACACTGGTTTAAAATATTTCAAAAACCAGCTCAAATTTGTTCAGGAAATAAATGGATAAGGAAAAAAACCAACAACAACACTAGAACTAGACAAAATTGTTTGCTTTAATCCAATCCTA